ATTTCCATTTTTGGAAGAAAGGCACCATTGTTATTCTTGAAAAGTGGCTTTAATCACAAAGTCCACTCTCCTTGAGCATTGAACTTGTTCTTTCTGCACACACAAACCCGATAAACCAAAAGCAAGTATTTCCAAAGTACTAACCATTCTATGCAGCCCTGTACTTTGCCTTGGAACAAGATGTTTCAACTTTGCTTCAAAAACAAGAAAGATGCTACAACATTTGATTTTCAAATTCTGACTTGTTATAAGACATAAAACCTCTTGCCTATAAATACACACACTATTTTCAAGATAACCCACACATACACAAGCCCTGAAAACTCCAAAAAAACCAGAACTGCATCACAAACCACCATTGTTGCATATTCTGACCAAGAACTTCAAACTTCCATTTCACTCGTGTGTTTTCTGGCCTTTTGCTTCCAAAAGCTTCCAAACATCATACATAAGCCATCCTTATCCCTGTTACACGACTGTAACACCTTCTTCATCCATTTCCAAGTTCAAAAACAGAGCATCATAGTTGGACTTCTCCAGACTATTCCATCCACCCTCAGCTCAAGCCAACCATTGCATTAGCTTCCTAGAGGTCAAAGGAAGCTAACATGATCATCAGCACTGCCTGAAACAAGCTCAAATCCATTTCACGATTTCCAGTTTTGAGGTATTTTTCTTGAACTTCTATCTTCATATTTAGGCATTGTTAGGCTTGCATTTGTGAAGATAAAATATAGACATCATTGCCCTGAAACTATACATGTCCATATATTTCATTTATTTTGATTGAGCTAGGAGAATTTTGAGTTTGAAATTTCTGAAATATTTAGGTCAGAATTTGGTAATTTTAGAAATTCTCATTCATCTTTGATTTATAACTTATGATATTTATATGGTTGAATTCGTGTGATAAAATGGAGCAATTTTCATGTTTCCATTTTTGCAAATGGTTGAGAAATGAGCAAGTTACGGATCCTTTGGCTGGAGGTTGAAGATGAAGTGTAATCATGACGCGTTTTGTGTTATGTATATATCCTTTCACATAAGTTAACAGATGTATCACCACCCCAGTGGTTAAAGCGCGCGTCTGTTATCTATGGGACCTGGGTTCGAGCCCCAGTGGTACCCTTTTGTTCATTTTCAACATTTTTCCATCTTTTTTTTGCTTCAGCTTGCAGCGCATGGGCTTCTCCCCTTTTGGGCTTTCATTTTTGCTAACCTCTAGTCTCTGACTACTTTTACACCCCTGGCCCATTGTTTTATTTAATATTTGATTTTTCTCATTTACTTTTATTTTATTTCATATTATTTTTGTTGTTATTATTATTTATCATTATTATTAATGTTATTATTATTTTTATTAATAAAAATCCAAAAAATATTTATATTTATTATTCATACTTATATATTTTATTTTCTCTATAAAACAAAAGACAAAAAACATTTTCTTAAATAAATTAATTTCTTTTCTTAAATAATTAATTTTTAGACTTAAGTTAAATTATTATATTATTTTATTTTCTTAATTAAAATCAATCTAGAACTTAGGTTTCTTTTTTTAATTAATTTTCATATTATTTTTAATTTAAAACCTTTTAAAAAAAAACCTAAAATACATTTTTAAACTTGATTTCCTTCTTAACTAATTTAGGTTTAGATTTTGTTTATTTTTATTAATCATCTCACTTAATTAGGATAAAACCCCTTTCAAAAAAATAAAAAAAAATCTTTTCTTTTTTTCCTTTTATATTCTTGCATTTTATTTTTAATTTTATACAATATTCAATATGGTTGTAATAGGTAATTAGGTTTAGTCTTATCGCAATCCCCATTTGTAAATTTGTATACCCCCCTCCCATGATTATTGTAATAGCATAGTAATTTTAAATTCCGCAATTTATCGCTTTATATAAATGCTAGTAATTAGGATTTTGTATGGAAAGACTAAAACCAACCAAATAGCAAACTCTAACCAAGACAAAAACAAAGCATGAAATCAACACACTTGCACACAAGCACCCCTAGGGTAAATCCACTTGGTTGCCTTGCAAAAATGACCATATTACGCATGTGAGGTATCTTAGCAAAGATAAGCAAAATACAAGATCATAGTCCCTCGACGACTCTATCAAAAGTTACCTTTCAAAATGATCTTAGTCCCTAAAGAAAAGTGTTAAGATACCTTGCAACATTGCTAATCATGGTTATACGATGACCCACACCCGTCCCTTTTGCATTCAAAGATAGGGTTACTTACCAAATCAATAGTAAGATAACCATGTCAAAGGAAAGATGAAATGAACATGAAAGACTTTTGAGTAGGTAGAATGTTCCTAGTTGCTTGCTCATTTTCAAACCAAAACATCCTTGCTATTTTCAAAACAAACACCAACACTTTCAAAAACATCTTTCAAACTTGAAACATTTTCAAAAGATCAACATCTTTGTATACATTCTTACGAACGGGAATCATTACAAATGTTTGCCTAAACAATGACCTCTTTACAAAATACTTTCAAAAACCACACGAAGCACAATTTCAAACAAAAGCAAGTGATCTAGCAAGTAACTAAGAGCCCATAGAAAACCATGGATGAAAAGGGTGCTAATACCTTCCCTTTTCATAATCTACCCATCGAACTCAAGAAACAATCTCAAAGGTCTTTCTTGTGCTTTTTCACATTTTCTTTTGGATAAAAGAAAAGTCGGTGGCGACTCTTGCTAACCGCAACATTTGCGATCAAACGCAAAACACCCAAGTCAGTTCGTCCACCGTATCACATTAGGGTTACTAGGTGTTTGCTTACTATTTTTGGCTTAATTTGCTTTAATTATTCATATACAAAGGATGAGAGCTATGTAAATATTAGTGGTTAATGAACTCGCTAAAGCATCGCGCCTTATGTCTACGTATTCATCAAAAGATGGAATCATAGTCTATATAGTTCGGGTATTTGTTGGTTAGTTGTTTTTAAGTTTTTGAAAATAAATTTGAACTTGAATTAATCGTACGAAGATGATGATGAATTGATTATCGCACGGGGCGAAAAAATTGATTATCGCACGTAGTGGAAAAAAACTAAAGTTTGGTGAGTTTGATAGATTTTAAAGCGTGAACAACTTTTTATATTTTTGTTTGATATTTAATTAGTGACATATGTACAGTTTATTTACAAGCTTTGATTTTTATCGGGAAAAAGAACATAGAAAAATATGTACAAGAGTGATGAATTGTTTTGTGTCTTCTTTTATTTTTTTAGTTAGTAATATGTACATGATTATTTACAAGTGATGATGATAGAGATTAATCGAGAAAATTGGGAATATGTACCAACCAAATTAATTCTCTTAAATAAATAACTTAATTGAAATCTATTTATCTTTCATTTTTGTATTATTTGATTTGTTAAAATTTAATTAAAAAATTCACCTAGGTTAAATTAACACTTAATCAGAACTAAATTTCTAAACCTTAATTGAACTAATCTAGATAGAATAAAATTCTAAAAAACTAAATATTAAATAAATAAATTCTACAAATAATAAAACCAAGATAAAATCAATTGAGAAAATAAAAGGGGTGTGGAGGAAGCAAGGAAGTGTGAAACCAAAAAGATGAGGGCCCTAAGCCCACCACCAATTCAAATCGAATTTTGAAAAAATAAAGATAGAATGAAAATAATAATAAAAAACACATATTGAGAGGAGAAGGGAATCTTCCTCGTTTCAACATCCAGAAAGAGAAACACAAAACATTAAAGGGCTTGAGTTATCCACCTTTCTCTAATATCAGAAAAATCTCAGCCAACATAGCTGCAAATTTTGCTACCAAGGCATATGAACTAGGTCTGAACTCAAACTTCTTCATTCACATGAGTTAAAATATCTTAGTCTCTGTGAAATGTTTTTTCCTTTTAAACTAAATAAAATTGCTTCAACTTTCATTGCAGGCGTGGGTACATATCTTCCTCGTCCTCAGGATCTTGTGAAGTATACTGAGAGTTGCATGTATTCGCCTTTGTACCGCAACTATAAATGAACAGAAGAAATTAACTACTGACTCTGAAGCTTCTGGGTCTGTTAAGGGTGTTTTTGTGTATGGTGTTTGTTTATGTTTGTGCAAAGGCTATGGTAAGTTTTACTGGAGTGACAATAATCCTGAAACATTTGATCATCGGTGAGTTGTTTATTCGTATCAGTAAATTGGGCGTATTGGATATGAAGTAGGAGGGCCTGATAGATCGGTGTTTTATTTGCAGGGATGCCATCATTGCTTTGCTTCCGAGATATGAGGAGCCTTACATTACAGTTGATAGCGCCAATTTACTGGTATTGCGTATCAGAATTTTGGCTATCCAATATGAAAGTTGATAGTGCATTTCGATTCTGCTACACACTTCCATTTCGTAAACATGCATAACTGAATTTACATGTGTTGTTAATAGCGGCTTTATTCCAATGGAGTACATTTTATCGAATAACACAAGTGTCGTAAAAAAAATATCAAATCAGTACCCGTGCAAACCTATGGATTATTATATTTTTGTATAATATTTTGAAATTATTTTTAATTTAATAAACAATATTTATTAAGATAGTCTATGAAAAATTGAAATATATATTATTGATGTAAAACAAATTTGGTAAAACAATTTTGTTTTTATTTCAAAAATGTCTTTCTTTTAAAAATAATAAACTCTTTTGATAAAATAATTTTATTTTTCTTACCACACAAAATTTTGTTTTTTTCTTCATTAGAGTCAAATAATCCCATCTTTCTCACGTTCTTATGTCACAATAGAAACTCACTATTTTCCCGACTACTACTAACCTTCAACCTTACACTATTATTTTCAAACTTTTTTTCTCCAACCATACAACATTTTTTAACTAAACCATATTAAGATCGAAATTCCTTCACTAGAAACTTAAACCATCACAAATAATTTCAGCATATCATTTTTTCTTTTCTTCAAACAAAATCTGAACATTCTTCCTAACTACTGCACAAACAGACATGATTTTTGAGAATCAACTAAGATAACTCTTTTTGATAAATTATCTCTAGTTGGGATTCTATTTTTCCATATTCTCCACACAAGCACAAACACTTTTAAAGGTATAAATTTGTTCCAAGCAATCGCTAAATCTCTTTCAGACCCGATACAGTTTAGAATACCTTCTATGATATAACTGTAAGCCTCATTAACCGGGTGCCCCCCTTTGGCCCACATCCACCTATCCTTTACATTTCCTCTCAACTTCACTCTTTGAACCAAATCATTTAACTCCTCCTCTAGCCTTTCTTCTTTCGTGTCGAATTCTGAATTTCCACCCATTGGTTTCATTTCCTCCCTACACCACATCTTTAACTCCCTAGTTTTTTTACTACGATCTTTCCAAATAAGCCCGAGTAAAGATTCTTCAAGCTTCTCCTTTCCACCAAGGGGTCCTCCCAAAATAAGAAATCTTGCTCGTCCCCAATATCTTTCTATAACTTCTCCACAAACTATGCTAAACTCTCCCTCGCCGGAATCTATATTAGCGACATCTGTCCACCACAACGACCACCTTCTATTAGCCCTACCTACTCCATTTATAGTCCCCGAGTACTTGTAGTCTAATATCCTCTCCCATAGTTTCTCTTTTCCAATAAGCATTATCCATTTCCAATTCCCCAATAAAGCCACATTAAACGCCTTTAAGTTTTTGATTCCCAACCCTCCATCTTTCCTCTCCCTACCCACCTTCTACCAATTCGCCCAATGCACATTCCTATTATCCTCACCCCCACCCCATACATATTTTTTAAAAATAGATTCCAATTTAGAAATGATACCTTATGGGGCCTTGAAAACCGACAAATAATAAATAGTAACCCATACATGACATATTTTAGGAGTATAATGCGACCCCCTTATCGATAATTGGTTGTTATTCCAAGAACACAACCTCCTTCTCACTATGTCCACCACTGGTTTTCACACCTCCAACCTCCAATGATCGTATCCAACTGGGAGCCCCATATCTTTGAAAGGAGCATTACCAATTTTATAATTTAGAGCTTCTACCGCCTCCTCCATCCATGATTTGTGAATATTAACCCCAATTAATAAACTTTTATGGAAATTCACTTTCAACCTGAAAACCAATTTGAAGAGATGCAAGGTAGCCTTGATTGCCCAAATATTTTTCCAACTTTTACTACCAACAATAATTGTGTCATCGGCGTACTCGATATGAGAAACCTCCACCACTTCATTTGCCAAGTTTATACCCATCAAATAGATTCACCTTAATAATTTTAGCCATCATGAGACAGAAACCTTCAGCGACTATAAGAAAAAGGAAAGGGGATCCCTTTGCCTCAAGCCTCTCTCCATAAGAAATTCATCTGTAGGACTTCTATTGACCAAAATGGAAACAAATGTGGTTCGCAAACACTCGGAAATCCAAATTCTCCATTTATTATTAAATCCCATTCTTTCCATCATGTAATCAAGAAACTTCCAATCCATTGAATCATATGCCTTTTCAAAATCCACTTTAAATATAAGAGCTTCTTTCCCATCCTCTTAGCATCATCTAACACCTCATTTTCTATCACGATACAATCTAGCATTTGGAGCCCATCCAAGAACGCAAATTTGGCTTCTACAATGATTTTGGGAAGGACTTTCCTAAGTCTACTTGCCAAAATTTTTGCCAAGATTTTATACATGCAACCAATTAATGAAATAGGCCTGAATTCGTTTAGCTTTATCGGGTTTTCAACTTTTCGAGTTAAAGTTAAAAAAGAGTTGTCAGAACCTCTCACCAATCTTCCATTTGAATGGAATTCAATAATGAATATGATAAAATACTCTTTACCCCCCAAAATTCTTTGATAAACCCAATATTAATGTCGTTCGGACCCGGACTCTTTGAATTATCACATTCCCAAACCACTCTATGAATCTCCTCTTCTGAGAACTTAGCCGCGAGGCTTTCACTATCCTCCCTTTCTAGCTTTCTAAATTCAAAATCTCAAAGAAAAGGTCTTTCCGTCCTTCTATTTTTGAAAAACTTCACAAAATGATAATGAATTTTCTGCCTTACCTCTTGCACTCTCGGCAACTTAGTGTTACGAGTCTCGATACAAGTAATCTCATTTGTTTTCCTCCTAGAAGCTACGCATCGATGAAAGAATTTTGAATTAGCATCACCTTTTTTTATCAATTCATCTGCGACTTTTACCATAACATGCTAGCCTTCATACGAGAACACTTAAAAAGTTGCAAGGACGCCTCTCTTTTAGCGGCTATCTCATCCTGAGAAAGCGCAAATTCTTTACTTTTGATTTCTAGATCATTTACCTTTTCTTTTTAGCTTCATTAAGTTTACCATCTAAATCTTCCACATGTCTCTCGCTCCATCCCTTCAAATGGTTCTTGATCAATCTAAGATTCTCTTTTAATACATAACCCCCACCCTTAGACTTCTATTGATTGCTATGTTTCCTTCATAAACACGTGATACCCTTCTATCTCCCTCCAACACTTAAGCAACCAGAAAGGTTTCGGCCCCTAATTCTGAGGTTTCTCACAAATCAAAATCAGACAATGATCAGATATTCCTTTTTCAAGGAACCACTGAGAAATTTAAGGCCATTGACATAACCACCTTTCACTTAGAAGAAACCTGTCTATTTTGCTCATTGAAGAGCCGTTAAGATTCGACCACGTGAAATGTCTTCCTCTTAAAGGTAAATCAATGAGATCTGAACCAACAATGAACTCCTCGAAATCTACAATTTCCTCCCTTCTATTAAACTCCATGATACCTTTCCTCCCCGCTTTTGTTATGATTGCGTTGAAATCACCCATGACACACTATTTGGCCTTTAGTTTTGAGCTAATGAGGTCACTCAAAGTCTTCCACAAACTTCTCCTACTCATAGCTTCACATAATGCGTATACGTTAACTATGTTGACTTCAATCCTTTCCAAACCCCAAACTCCTCCGATTACTACAAATTTTTTTTATTAACTCTGCTTGTTTTGTGAAAATCTTAGTATTGCCCATCACGAATATCCCTCCCGATCTTCCTTATGCCGCTTTAAAAATAAAATAAACATCACTGGATCCCCACATTATCTCACACATCTTCTTTTCTATGTTTATCATTTTAGTTTCTTGTATTTCGACTAAATCTGGATTTTTTGCTTTGATCACCTGAGATACCTCTTTGTTGTTTACTAACCCTCCTAAGCCTCTAATATTGTAACTAATAATATTCATTACATAAATCTTTTATCTCCAACACCCCTGCTCCAACTTCCAGTTATTTGTCAGCCTCATCACTTACCCATACCTTTTTCTCCCTTACTTTTGAGTGCAAATATTAAGAGGGATAGGTCCCAAGCATAACTGATCCGCCGAAATTTCACCTTGGTTGGCCCAATTTTCACTGCTCCATGCATTGGAGGTACGTAAATTGCTTCCTTCCACGTACTTTTCTTGATTACTCATGAACAAGTCATAAATCTTTTAAAACTCTTCCTCTTCCCCGTCATCTTCTACCTCTTGCTCTCATATGCAAGTTGTATTATACTCCATCTTTGAATGATACAATTCATCTTCTGAGTTTTCAATTATATTCTTATTCTTAGATTGGAGATCTAAGGAACACATGAATGCTTCCTATTCCATCTTGATGTTAAACACATGTTCATCCACCATTACCCAAATTACCTTGCTAATGTTATCCATGGACATCATTTGGACCAAGTGTAACACCCTTCTAAATGCAACGAATAATTCATGATTAACTTAATAAATAATTAAACACGAATCACCAACAACGGGTGTCACATCTGTTAGAACAAGATTTGGTTCTGCATGTAATGTTTGAGTTTTGATAATAATAATACATATATTTTATATGTAACAATTTTGGTATCTAATAGTTCTTTAAGTGTGCAGATAAAACATTGAAATTGATTCAGGATTGTTGTCTGAAGAATCATTAAATGTGTTTAGCTTGCATCAGAAAGACTATCATTTAAGTTCTGAAGAAACATCAATAGTTCTGAAGAATGCTAAATGTTCGCCAGAAATAGAACTACGTGTACTTGTGCAGATAAGTTGCTTTTTAAGAAGTCAAGTGTGTCCAGAAAACAATCAACAGTGAAGATCAAATATCAAGCTTATACTTCCAAGATATGATATCAAGCTTTTGCTTCAATGATCAGATATCAAGATAAAGTGCTTCTCAGATAAAGTTTTTGCTTTAATGCTCAGATATCAAGAAACTGTTTGTCAAATAAGTTGCTGCTACATATCTGAAGACTAGGTTCCGGTTCTGAAGACTCTGATACTTTTGGGAACACTACAAGAAATATCTTCTAGAATGTTCATCTCTTCATATCTGAATCATTCCATCAGAAGATTTAAGAACAAAGATGTGATTTCTTCTATGATCTCATTTTACTTTAGATCAGAAGTATTTCAAAGAGAAGAAAAGATCAAAAACTTATACAAGAAGTAAACAAATACACAATACAACACCTTTTCCATTATTTATGGAGAAAGCACTGTACGGATAAATTTCGTGTGTGCTCCTTGTTTCCCATGTTCTTATGCTACTGTTGTAGCAAATGGCTTGATGAAAGTGATGTTCTCTAACAGTCTTCTTTTCTTAACTTATATAAAGGGGATAATTACTTCATTGGAGAGTAATGACGACGAAAATAAAAACATAAATACTCAAACAATTGAGGAATCAAAGTTACTATAAAAAGAGAAAATAAAAGAGAAAAATATTCTAAGAAAGAAAACACAAAGAGTTGTTACTCAGAATTGTGTTAACTTACAATATCTAGAACACAAGAGTTATTGCTCATTATTGTATTAGTTTTATCATTGTTGTACACACAAGAGTTGTTGCTCATATTTGTGTGTAAACATTTATTCTTTATTCTGGTGTTAAATCTGCTTTTTAGAAGCACTATTGTAAATATTGAATTGATTATAAATCTGTCTAGATTTATTTCCTCAAGTGACTAAGTTGTAGTTATAATTACTTGAGAGGGCTAAGATGTTTTTCTAAACTATTAGAGGCTACTGTAATCTTTCTAGATTATTGGATTAAGTCCTTTTCTAAGGCAAAATCACCATGGCGGGTGGACAAGAGTAACATTTTCTAAGGTGAAGTTGTATAAACTAAATGTGTCATTTTTATTTCTTGTTTAGTTATCATTGTTTGTTTGTGAGAAGCATTTTCCCAAAAAAATAGTTTTTGAAAATCCCAATTCACCCCCCCCCCCTTCTTGTGTTTTTCCCAACCTTCAATTGGTATCAGAGCTCCGTCTCTGTTATTGGCTTTCAAATCAAACACTTAACCGTGTAGAGAGATTCATGTGAGAAAAAACCTCTATGGTTTTTTCTCGTTAAAAACAAAAGAGATAGTTACAGTACTAACTCTCCTATTTTTGATGGATATAAATTTGACTATTGGAAAGATTGAATAAAAAGTTTATTTCAACGCTATGATGGTGATCTTTGGGATCTTGTCTTATATGGTTACGAAGAACCTGTTTCTGCGATTGGTATTCCCATTCCCAGAAATAGAATGAATGATGATCAAAAGCGTACTCTCAAGAATAATCATAAAGCAAGA